TAGTCAACTGCCCTACTTTCTCATCTGGCTGGTGGAGCCAAAAGGTCTAAACTGTATTTCTTAACTTGTTATCATCTAATCTGTATTTTATGGTAGATACCTGCCAGGACTGCTCAACCATCTTGACTGAATTCAAGCAGAAAACTTTGCCCTTCTTCATTCTTTGCCTGTTATTTCAGATAGGACACGGGAAAATTGTCCCCTTGTCCCTTGTTTTGCAGAATATTCAGCATTCAGCTCATGATTTTAGTCCTGCTGGTGACAAACTCCGCATTAGCCAAGATTGTGAGAGCTCAGTAGCATGGATGGTCATCTTATTAATTTTTTTGAACCGCACTTGCCCAGTAGGGTAATTATTGATTATGCCTTCTAGGCAATGCCATTAGACAAGATGCAGAGTACAGTAATAATTTCAAGAAACCCAAGTGACTTATTTATTTGAGTAGAGTTGGAATGTTATTGTAGCCATGATGGCCCAGGAAATGTACAAGAGGTTTTTTGTGATATATTTTATTGGACCATCTTTTAGATGGAAAAGGTGTTGGATCACCAAAAGAAACAGACACAGACTGAGTTGAACAATGGAAAAAAAATGGTTTGCTTTTGGTCACCGCCATGAAAAGGATCAAACTTCGCCTTTTTGAGGGGAAGGGGAAAGCTGTTCTTTGGGACTTTCCCAAGATGTGACCTTATTCAGTCTCCTTCTCCTGGGAGGACCCTGCGCAGTCACATTAGCATGGCTTCATAAAGGGCAAGACTCTGACTTTGAGACCCTAGCTCTTCTGAGTCTCTGGCTTCCCCAGTGATCCCTCGCATCTCCAGTTCTGGGAGCTGCTTCTTTATGGTCAGCTCCTGACAAGGAGTGTTTTTTTTCTTTTAAAGAGGGGTATCAGAGTGCCTATTGTCTGCAACAGCAGAGCAAACTCTGCTCCATTGATTTCTTCTGTCCTCTTGTGGACTTTACTCTCTCCTCCCTGGAACTGTTCCTTTTCTTGGTGTCCATCCTGGGAACTTCTCTCTCTAGCTCTCTCAGAGCCTCCCTTTTCTCAAGATCTGTCAGCTACACTTCAACAAAACACTTATACAGAAATATAGTCTTAACCTGGGGACAACCTCACCCAGTGCAATGGATCATTATGTCATGGGGAACCTATCAGAGAGCACTCTCCATGGCTTGCTGTCAGGCCTAGACTGCCATCTGGCCCTGAGGTGAATATAGATGACCTGCATTGGGAACTAACATATGCTCACACTGAACCCCCACCAAAAGTATTCCCAGCAAGAACTGCAGACTAGAATTTAGCTCACTGAAATTCCTTCATTACAATCACCTGAGGCATGGAGGATGCCCAGGAAGGGGGAGCAAAGAATGGTGATCAAATTAGCTCCAAAGACAAAGGAAATGAAATGAAGTTGAATGGGTAAATTATATAGAATAAGGGTAGAACTAGCCCAGGGCACAAGGGCTACCACAGTTATCATCATGATGGTGGTAGCAGTGAGGTGTCCAGTGGTGGTGAGGAGTTTGGTGGCAGCAAGAGGTCCAGTGGCTGTGGTAGGCCTGAGGGAGTGAGTCCAGGGGTAGCAGCAGTGGGGCGGGCTCACTGCTAATAGACATGTCCAGTGGGGCCACAGGCCCTGGGTTCTGTGGCAGGCCATGTCCCCCAATATCCAATGTCCACAGGTGGCCCAGTGGGCTAGACAGAGAAGCTCCACAGATTGGATCCAGCATGGGCCATATGTTTGACCCCCCACCCCCTGATGTAAAAAAAGAATACTATTCAAAAGCTAGAAGGATGATTGATTATTACCTGTGCAATGCAGAAAGGTTAGCAGCAATAGTAAGTAGATTATCATGAGTCATAAAGCCATTAAATCTGTGTTCAGGCAATTGTTTTTAGCGTTCAGCAGAGGTGTAACTGTTCAGTATTCTACCCTGCACTGTTCTGTGCCACCTATACTGCCACACTGTGCACTTTCTAAGCTGCAGCTCTGGCTCTAACAGCAGCGGCAGGATTGCCAACCCAAGAACTTTTTTATTTTAATTTTTTTTTCTGACAATCTGAAAACTTTTTACTGATGACCAACCTTTTTCACTGGTACATGTTTTTACTGAAATATATTTTACAAAATATAAATGTAACCCTTCTGCCAGGCCCTGGGCAAGGTCCAGGTTCAAATTTAGGGTTTAACACTAACCATAGTAAAAAAAAAAAAAAAAAAAAAAAAAAAAAAAAAATGGGGTTGAAAAAAAAAATTTTTAAAAGAATAATTAAAAAAAAAAAAAAAAATGGGGTTGAAAAAAAAAATTTTTAAAAGAATAATTAAAAAAAAAAAAAAAAATGGGGTTGAAAAAAAAAATTTTTAAAAGAATAATTAAAAAAAAAAAAAAAAAAAAAAAAAAAAAAAAAAATTGGGTTGTCAATAAAAACTTTTCAGAGTATAAGTTTAAAAAAAAAAAAAAAGGATTGGGTTGGCAATCCTGCTTTACTGCAGGCAGTGTTTTTTATACCATGCTGTCCCCACCCCAAGGGTCCTCTACTCACCATCACACTGATGCCCGCAACTGCAGCCTGCGCCTTGCTGCTCCCCCCAGCCCATTTCCAACCTTACTCCTGCCAGCCCTACCCTCCCGTGCCAGCACAGACCCCCCCCAGCAGTGTTACAGACAAGTTATGGGATACCACAGCAGCAGTAGCACATGGCTGGGGAAGAGGGGCTATAGAGCTCTGAGAAAATGCCCCTTGCAGGATGCTGCACTCCTGCTCAGACACCAAGTGGTGTTGCTCTGCCCTGTCTGTTTTTAACCACTTGCCTCTGATAAGGGATCTTTAGTCAAGCTCCCAATTCCTTAGTCTTTTACAGATGGCTCAATAGTTTTGGGTGGCCCTTAGTGCAACAGCACTCAGGGGCATATGTAACAGTGGAGGTGAACCTGTAACAATAGTAGGTACAATACATTCATACAGAAAATATGATTTTCAGGTTTTCTCTTCCAGTCCCATTTCCTAAAGTTTCCTTTCTTTCCAGTGACTCATCTCTGCTTTCTCATTTTATTGCAGCAGGTGATGAGATTCTGTATGAGCATGAGAATGCGATCCTGCACCAGGACAGTCCTGAGTCAGTGGAACCAAGTGACACATTATCAAGCATATCCCAAGGGAATATATCTCAGATTCCTGAGCAGGGCAAAGCTGATGGTCATCATTGCAGGTCAGAAAGACTTCCAAGAGCTCTTCCAGGGAAGAGTCAAGGTAAAGAAAGTGCATGCAAGGGAGATTTTAGGCAGCTGCCAGATATTGTCCAGCACAGAAACTCCACAGTGGAAAGACCAACAATATGCAGTGACTGTGGGAAGAGCTTCAGGGTGAGCTCCAACCTCATACAGCACCAGCGAATCCACACAGGGGAGAAGCCCTTCGGCTGTGATGAGTGCGGGGGGAGCTTCCGGCAGCGCTCGCACCTCATCCAGCATCAGACCAAGCACACAGGGGAAAGGCCTTATGCATGTGCCGACTGTGGGAAAAGCTTCACTGTGAGCTCGAACCTCATTCGGCACCAGATCATCCACACTGGGGAGAAGCCCTATAAATGCAGTGACTGTGGGAAGAGCTTCATAGGGAACTCACAGCTCATTCAGCACCAGAGGATCCATACCGGAGAGAAGCCCTATGAATGCTGCGACTGTGGGAAGAGCTTCAGTGTGAGCTCTGCTTTGACACGACACCAGAGGATCCACACAGGGGAGAAGCCTTATGAATGTTTAGACTGTGGGAAGAGCTTTAGTCAGAGCTCTGACCTCATGAAGCATCAGAGAGTCCACACAGGTGAGAAGCCCTATGAGTGCGCCCAGTGTGGGAAGAGATTCTGTGTGAGCTCTCATCTCATCCAGCACCAGAGGATCCACACAGGGGAGAAGCCATATGAGTGCTCAGACTGTGGGAAGAGTTTCAGTCAGAGCTCGGACCTCATGAAGCACCAAAGAGTCCACACAGGCGAGAAACCCTATGAGTGCACCCAGTGTGGGAGGAGCTTCAGCTGGAGCTCAGCCCTGATTAAGCATCGAAGAATCCACACAGGAGAGCGCCCCTATGCCTGTGGTGCCTGTGGGAAGAGCTTCAGTCAGAGCTCACACCTTGTTCAGCATCAGAGGATCCATATTGGAGGGAAACACTAAGAATGGGCCGAGTACAGGGAAAAGTTTTCCTTGCAGAGGATCCTTGTAGCTAGACGCTGGCCATGTTTCTCCCCAGGTAGCTGTAGGGACTACCTTGATTGTAAAGAATAAAGAGTTCTAGGAAAAACAGAACACATTGAATAGCATGAATAAAAATGGTAGTGTAGAAAAAGGAGCCATATAAATGCTAGGTATATGAGGAGCCTGTGGCTGGAGCCAGCAGCAGTACCAGGAGGTGCTTGAGGCCTGGGTCATTTGGGGAGGGGAAGGAGAGAGAATTTTGTGTAAGCAGTGTGGTGAATCCTTTGGAGTAGATTCAGATAATTTGCAAAGAAACTTTTACAGTCTAACGGGGTTTTTATTGGGATTGCATGGGGTAGAATGAGAAGATCTGTTAATGATCAGAGGTGGGGGTGGAAAGCCTAGTGTCAGCTTCCTTAGTCTTGTCTCTGTGATCTCAGGTGACTTGCTTCACCTGACAGTGCCTCAGGGTGACTGTAGACGTGCAAGATGCCTGCTCCAACACACGGTAATTGCAGCGTATCAAAGTGGACTCTATTAATCGAGTTTGCTGGAGTGTACTGATTAATATGCACCAGCAGCCTCAGTATCTCATGTTTTCAGTGTCCCCATGCTTCAAAATTGCAGGAGGGGCTCTTTAGCTAAAGGTTGTCGAATGAGCTGTAGTTAAAGTGCCCCTTGATGTTCAGGACGCTGAATACACGAGACACTACAGGCACTTTAAATAGAGCAGCTGCTGAGAGCCACTCTGAAGCGCCTGCCACCGCCACCCCCAGAACATGTGTAGACACCCTCAGTTTTCCTGTTTGTAAAGCAAAAATGGTCATAAATATCCACTTTATAAAAAAATTAGACTTATTTCATTTCACTGTAACTGAAGCCTAGAAACATCAATGAAAATTGGGGCCATGTTAAGTTAGGTGTTGCATGAAGAGGCCTCTGCCCAGGATTCATAGAGTTTATTTTCCTTTTTCTGTAGACCCATGGACCCTCTCTGGATATTTAGATATCAAGGAGCATTGGCATTTAATTCTAGTTTTAAAATCATTGTCTTTATTGTTTTTTAAATCCTCAATATTTTTTTTAAACTGGGCCTCATTTGGTTTCCTGGAAATATTCTCAGCACCTGAGCTATCAGAGACAGATCCCCAGAATGGGGAATTTCTCCCATATTTATTCATAGTTTCATATCCAAGAATCAGGAGTATGTGTGCTCTCAAAATGTTACTCCGGCCCTGGCTACTGTAAGAAATTTTGCATTGGTGTGAAGAATGTAGTTACACTAGTGTCTCCTGCCAATGTCTGTGTGTTCCACAGCATAAAATGAGGCTTTGATAGGACCAGCTCAATCCATAACATGAATGCATCAGATAAGGAGTTGGGGTGGCTCCTCCTTGTGACCCTGAACATAGAGTATATATCTATACTGCTTCCACAGCATTCACACAAGTGCTGCCAAGAAGCATAACTTTGTGTACATGGTTTGATCAGAAAGTTCTAAGACTTGATGTTCAGGGTACTGTTCATCAGGAATTTGTACTGAGTGGTCAAACAATCAGTCAGGCCTTTTATAAAGATGTTTTGATTCAATTGAGGGATAAAGTTAGAAGAAACTACTGCGAGCTGTGTGAAAATGGTTGATGGTTTCTGCACCATGATAACGCTCCTTCACACACTGCTGTCTCCATTCAAGAATTTTTGGCTGAAAAAAACATTCCTGTGATACCACACCCTCCGTATTCACCTGCCTTGCCCCATGTGATTTTTTTTCTGTTCCTGAAAATCAAAATGAAGCTGAAAGGAAGGAGATTTGATGACATACCAACCATCCATAAGAATGTGAAAGCGGAACTCAAAAAACTCACAATTGAAGACTTCCAGCATTGCTTCCGAAAGTGGCAGGAACGTTGGGACAAGTGCGTATCATTTGGGGGAGATTACTTTGAAGCGGATAGCTCATAAAAATGTTGTTTGTACACTATTCTTTAAAATAAAGGCTAAGTCTTAGAACTTTTTGATCACCCCTCATGTGCACAGGAGGATCAACTTCTGTTCTGCCTAAGGATTAGTGCCAGTCAGGCAGGATTCATGGGGTAATTAGGGAGAGAGATTGTGAAGGTAGAGGCTTTCCTGATATGAAACAGAAACTAGTGCTGCTTCCTGTTACCACAAACTCACAACTGTTTGGCCCTAGAAATACGAGACACACCTGCATAGCAGGATGTGTGAATTTTGGGATCAGGTATCAGATCCCAATTGTGCCCTTTCAAATTGCTAGCACAGTCCTGAGCTCCTCCTTCACCAGCAAATTGAAAGCCCCACACAGTTTTCAAGTGCTGGGTGGCGTAGGGGGTGGTCAGTGGGGGGAGCCCTGCATATCCTTTGACTCCCCTCACCTTATAGAGGTGTGCTTGTAGAGCCCTGCACCAGATTTGAATGTGCCTACAGGGGCAGTTCCAAGCCTGAAACCTGGTGGCAGCCCCCTCCATGCTGACAGTCAGCTGATTGTTGACATGTAAATGGGGGCACACCACATATTCAGTTTAAGGTGCTTTACAAGCCAGCCACAAGGATATTCTGCTTTATATGTGAAACATCTTTGTGGCTGGTTTGTCATTTTATAGTGCCATAAATTAGCTGAGCATGTGGCATGTTACAATTTATGGCACAATTCACACATCAGTTGTGCCATAAATGTAAATGTCTGCCAGGGACCTCAATGTCTGTCTATCTACCTGCAACAACACAATGCAAAGTCTTGCTTATACTGGTGGAGAGACTGAGGAAGGAGGAGGAATACACCTTTATATATAATCATATATAAGTAACGTAGGCACATTCAAAGTTGGTGCAGAGCTCTATAGGTGCTGATGAGAAGAAACAATGGGCATGCAGGGCTGTCCACATCAAGTCCCCATTGCTGGCACTTCCAAACCATGTGCTTTCAACTTGCTGGAGAGGTGGAACCCAGCATGGCAATCCTGGGCTCCACATATGTTGGCAAGTTGAAAGGCCATGTTTGGGATCTGATGCCTGATCTCAAAACTGCGCATCCTGTTATGCATGTTCCTCTTGTCTCTCTAGGACTGAACAGTTCTGAGTTCGTGCTAACAGGAGCAGCACCCGATCCTGTGTTAAACATTTGGAGAGCCCCTAACTTTACAATTTCTGTCTCTTAAGTACTACATGAATTTGTCCCAGAGATGCACGCAAGCAGCACTCTCCCTAAAGCCAATATTATGAGAACCTCTTCCACTTGAAATTTCTCAAAAATGTATCCAAGGCAATGATACAGCATGTGCACGCGTATGTGCATGCGCACGCACACACTTGCTCTAGGTTACAGTCTACAACAGTACAGGAGTCTGGATACATGTCTTTATGGAGTGACCCCCACAAGTGCTGCGCTTTTCTAGGCTGAGCTGATAGAAGTTTATAGAGAGAAATGGGGAAAAGATTAAGTTGCTGTTAACTGAAAGCTCTTTCTAAAACAGGCAGCTTGTGGGCTACATGCAGCCCATGGGTAATTAAATCAGTGACACTCAGCCAGGGTGCTGCAGTACCCTGGAGTGCCTGTAGATCCTTTCAGGGGTGCCATGCAGTGTTAGCACTGCTACGTGTGCAAGTTTGATTCACAAGATACACCCAAAGAATTCCTGGTGTTAAATACATTCTGACTGGTTGTGATCTTTCTGAGTTATTTGCAACAAAAGAATTGTTCTAGTATTTTTCTGTAGTCAAGAAATGAGTGAAAACTAAGAGCTGTCAGTTTCTGAGGGGTGCCTTGAGTTTAAAGTGGGGTGCCTCTTTTAGACTCAAGGTTCAGAACCACTGGGTTAAATGATAGCCTGCAGAGCCTGGAAATTCTGCAGTGAGCAAGTAGTAGCAGTGTTAAACCCTGCAGCTGTCAGAGCCTTTGTGTTGGCAGTGGAGTGGGGCGGGGTTTTTAGCACCGCCACTGCTCACCCTGTCAAAGAATGGCTGGGCTGAGGGTTGGGGGTGCCTTTTGGGGGCAGAGCAAGTGATGGAGGTGCAGCCAGTATGTTGGAGTTAATGCTGCTCCATCTTGCCCAGCTGCTAGAGTTGAGTTGTGTAACCCACAAGAAGCTTCTAATCCAGCCTGCCAACCCAAATGAGTTGGACAGCCCTACTCTAAAACATCTTACATTTTTTGAGTGGAAAACTTATTCTTTGATTTGTAAATGTTAACACTGCAAGACATGGACATTGTATTTTCCTCATTTAGTGTCAAGTTTTAATTGTGTCAATGACTATAGTAATTCTTGCCTTTTCCCAATCTTCAAAGTCTGCTTTTACTCACCTAGGACAAAAACCTCATTTTCTTATATTTATATAAGAGAAATTTATAGTAACTTTATAATTTATAGTAAATTTTATAATAGAGAAATTTAAAGTAACTTTACTTTCTTTGCACTTTCAAGCAAGGCATGAATTTCAGCTGCTCCCCTAACCCTGAAAGTTGTTGACAACAGTGTTATCAGCATGATCCTTTGAAATAAATGCGTTAAAAAACAGGAGCCAGGCTAAAGAGCCCTTTTTCCCCCAGTTTGAGGAGTTGAGCATAAATTTACCACTCATTTGTCATAAGAAACTTTCAAATAAATCTTTGAAAAATACAAATGATGATATGGACAAAGAACTGCAACTATGGAAGATGGACTGAACAGCACAAATTATTCAATGACTACCTACTGTTTCTCTTTGTACACACTTATTGACAAGCTTGATAATATTTACAGTTAATAATAAGCAACTGATGTTGCTTATAAAATTAATAAGGATCTACAGGCACCCCAGGGTACTGCAGCACCCTGGCTGAGTGTCACTGATTTAATTACCCATGGGCTGCATGTAGCCCACAAGCTGCCTGTTTTAGAAAGAGCTTTCAGTTAACAGCAACTTAATCTTTTCCCCATTTCTCTCTATAAACTTCTATCAGCTCAGCCTAGAAAAGCGCAGCACTTGTGGGGGTCACTCCATAAAGACATGTATCCAGACTCCTGTACTGTTGTAGACTGTAACCTAGGGCAAGCATGTGTGTACATGTTGTATCATTGCCTTGGATACATTTTTTTTTTTATAAGCAACTGATGTTGCTTCTGGATCACAGTGTATGTGTGACAGATCACTAGGACCTTCAACACACACAGGTTGGACTACAGGGGAGTCGTGGCTCCCTAGACTTTCTATGCCCCTTTTAGGGCATTGAGACATAATCCACAATTGCAGTTATGTGCATGTCTGGGAATCAAACTCACAAGTCCCACATGGTGGGCAAGGGCTCTACCACTGAACCACAGCAGCAGGCTTGTCACTAGTATCCAAGTGAAGATTTTGTGTTCGTTCCCATGACTCTCAACTTGAGTGCCGTGTGATCTTTCTAAGGGTGCTGTGGGGTGCCATGCAACATTAGCACTCTTAAGTGTGCATACACCTCCACCTTCCCAAGATAAACCCAGAGATTTCAAACAAGAATCACCATCTCTGTGAACTCCTCCAACACCAAGT